CATTTGTCTATCACAAATGCGGCACGGCACGAATATTATGATATACATTTGCCTCGTATGATTATGGTAATAACTTGGCTTATTTATTTACTTATTGATTTATTTTTCTTTAAATTTAATGTGGAACTATAAATTTTATGATTAGCTTAAAGATTCTGGTCAAAAACATGAAAAAACAATTCAAGATGCAGAACAAGCATTAGAAAAGGTTTGATTCACATGTTTAGTTGAAGTCTTTAATATTATAATGGAATTCCTGATACAAATATCTTGAATTTAGGCTAAAACAAAATATGAGACACATAGTGAAGATTGGGAGCGCACTATTTTGCAAAAAAGTGGCGATATATCTAATATAAAACCAAGGACCTCCTTAACAAAAGCTATTTTTTCTAAGCAGCCAAAGTCTCCCACACAGGTATAATTTTAAATAATAATAGTTTAATTTATTACCTTTATGAATTTTTATAGACATGCATGCGTGTCATTTTTCCAGCTGTTAAAGATGGAAGAAGACGCAAGGAACAAAGCGGCAACTGCCAATGATACATATAAGCATCATTTGTCTATCACAAATGCGGCACGGCACGAATATTATGATATACATTTGCCTCGTATGATTATGGTAATAACTTGCGCCCTATGATAGTAATCCATTTTAATTATTTTCATTAATAATATAGTTAGAATGATTTTATTTAAGGCTCTCAAAGATATTTCCGACGAATGTGATATAGGTATACAATATCATCTTGCTCGATACACCTACCTTTTTGAAAATACTATGGTAAGCGACGCATTGGTTATAAGTCCCGCCAATACCGAAGATGGTAATTACTCCGTATAATTATTCTTGGTTTTCTGAGATAGGATTAACATAGCTATAATTAATTTCCTAATTGCATTGCCTTTTTTTCGTAGGTCCTTCTATGCGAAAGATTGTTGAACAGATCAATAACGAAGAGGACTATTACTCATACGTACAATCATGTAGTGCAAAGGCGAAAAAATCGAAAAACTATGATATCCCATACGATCAATATAATATGGTAAGTTAATAATTATATTACGATTTCGTTATTTTTTTTTTCTTTGTTTTTCATTTTTTGTCATTTATTTATTTATTTTTATTTTTATTTATTTTTGTTTTGTTGAGTCTGAGCAAGCAATTAATATAATAAATCCCAAAAATATTTTTGGTGTTGATTTGGCTGAACAAATGCGAAGAGATAATCATGAAATTCCATTGATTTTAATTAAGTGTGCAGAAGAAATTGAAAAAAATGGTGGTAAGGCTGTCAAAAAGGAAAGTTATTTGTTAATAAATTCAATATGCTGATTTCAACTAAATATGACTTCGATAGGCCTTGAAAGTCAAGGGATTTACCGTGTTTCAGGTGTCCAATCGCATATTCAAAAGTTGCGGACATTATTTGATAGAAGTATGTATTTTAAAATTATTCACAGATTTTACGTTATTAGAATAACATTATTCTTATTAGCGAAAAATTTTTTTTTAGATGCGGAAACTGTTGACTTGAGTGCGGAGGAATGTTCTTCAGACGTCAATAATCTTACCAGTGTTTTAAAATTATGGTTTCGAGAGTTACCAGATCCACTTTTTACAAGAGAAATGTATCAAGATTTCATCACTGCTGCAAGTAAGTTAATTTGATATTATCATTTTATTTTTAATGTGTAATTAATCTGTAATTCTTAACGATTATCTTCCGAAGAAACTCCTGATGAAAGAAAACGTGTTCTTGGGCTACACGAACGTGTCAATAATCTTCCAGATCCAAATTATAGTACACTGAAATATTTAATGGGACATTTGCATAAGTATTTATCTGTCTATTTGTCTAATAATATATGTTTGCCATTTTAAAAATGAATTTTACTGAAATATTTCACTGTAGAATTGTTCAGAATCAGGAGAAAAATAAAATGAACGTTCAAAATCTTGGAATTGTGTTTGGGCCAACATTGATGGGCAGCCCTATTGTTACTGCAATTTCAAATCCCGTATCATCATCAGGTTTATCATTACAAAATTCAAATACGGCACTTTCATCACCTTTATCACATGTGTCAGATAGCGGCGGAGGACTTAATGATATGGGTTGGCAGTGTAAAGTTGTAGAAACTATATTGGAAAATTATCTTGCTATCTTTGTGTAAGTAGCTATCGTGAGTCGGTTGCAACCTAGGAATAATTCCCAATTTATTAATTTATGGAAATTTTTTAATATAGGGAGTAGAGTTTTGAATGATAATTCGACTCCCTCCCTAAAAGAAAATAGGTCAGTAGATGTATGGATCTAGGAATGATCATAATTAGTTATGATTTATAACCTGATTTTTCTGTTTCAGACAAAAATTTATTATTGTATTATTCTTGAATTTTTTTTTGTTTATATATTTTGTATTGTTTATCAATTTTGAATTAAGTGTATGTTATAATTTTTTTTTCTATAATTAATAATTTGAATCTGAGATTCAAAATTTTTTTTTCTTTTTCTTTTTTTTCTTTTTTTTTATTTGTAAATCAAGCTTGTCTTTAATTTTTAATTATCGCCAAAAAATATTTTGATTCATTAATGTAAGATAGCTAGTTGACAAACATTCAATAAACAAATGCATTGAAATTCTCAATCGTATAATAAGATGATAAACTAGAAGCATGTCCACAAGATGAAAATATTTAGTGCCAGATACAAGAATATTGGATGATGTATGTAGTAGAAGCTATCGATAAGGTAACGCATGTCACATTACTTGGGTCATACATGATAATAATTGAGAATGCAAAGTATATAGAAAATTTTGAGTTATTATGATTATTTGCATTCTTTATAGAAACCTGAATGCCTTAATGCACAGTAACTGCATAGTAACTATGTACACTCTACCCTCGTTATAACGGATCCCGTTATAGGGATACCTCGTTATAACGGAGCAATTTTCTGAATTTTTTATTATTATGTTATATAACACCATAGCGGATATTCATTATAACGGACAGAATTTCTCAGCCCGACCACTACGTTATAACGAGGGTAGAGTGTAGTTACTCTTCAATTTAATACTAAGATATTCAGATTTCTGTATAATAACTATTATTTTAGAACAGGGTGAAACCTGAGTTACGAAATAGTGAAATCCGCTTTGTAGATCGGGTTAGGGTGAAGTTCGCGTTTTATTATGTTTTTTATTATATAAAAGCGGATTTCACCCTTTGTGTGATGATCATAGCGGATTTCCCTATTTCGCAACTCAGGTTTCACCCTGTCGTATTATTTTTATAGTCGTTGTTACCAATCTTAATTTCATAATCCATTTTACATTATGAAAGCTATTAAGGGTGTTAAACATTCTGAAGAGTATGCTGAATGTGATTCGAAGTTCTTATTGAAAACTACTTATTATTCCACGTTTTACTATTGTCGATTAAGAAGATTCCGCTACACGGCTTTATGGAATTATAAATAAAACTTCAATATAAACGCTAACCATTTATAATGCATATTAGCATCAAAACCGTCTTCACATTTACACAAATTTAAACTTGAAAACGAGTGAAAATAGCCTTCAATATTGTGATTCGACTTTTTTTATTATTAGATCAACTAAGCCATAAATTAAAGTTCAGGCAGGGTTGGCGTCCATTAAAAATAGATTTATCAATGGACCTCAATGAGACCAATTCTGGTCCATTAATTTATATAAGCTTGTTAAAATTGTCAACTGATGCTAATAATTGAATATATTTCAATGAAAATTTTGAAGGTTTATAAACTTTAATATTTTAATGCACAATAACTGCATAATACTATATATGTAGTTACTGTCATTAAGAAGCATACTTCTATCTTTTTTTAGAGATTTGGAATTAGAGTATTATTAAAGTGTATATAAGGTTTAGTACATTTAATAGAGGATTCAAATTCCAGCATCAGCCATAGCAATATTTAGAAAGCTGCACGGTCTTTTGGACCAGTTTAGCATAACTTGAGGACTGGTCAGAACCGGTCCATAACCTATGACTGATCTCAAGCGCCTCTTTCTATGGTTACAAAATGATACTTCATAAATCCTGGGACAAAAAAATTGCTAATGGCAATGTTGGTAAGTTTCTATGTTAGTAACTTATTGGTTTTGACTCTAACCTAGTGATTTGGTCATCGCCAATTTTTTTCAGTCGTTTAGGATTTATGATAATAGACGTAAGTCAACAAATCTGAAATAAATATTACAGTAAGATAATTTTGAGGTATCAAAATAATCCTCGTCGTTGATATATGTTACAAACCAATACAGTATAAAAGTTATCAGACATGTGATAGTGTATCAAAGGTTTTTAAATTTCATATATACCGTATATTCCCTATCTTCTGTTTTTTGCTAACTTGTTCAGCATATGTAAGTACATTATATCGGTATATTTAATTTTATATTCTTAAAATTTTAAAAGATGCTTAATTTTGGATTTTTGATGAAAAAATTTAAATTAAGCATTTTTTAAAAAATTTTTTTTTCTCTTAGGCAATCCTGTTTACTTTATTTTGGAGAAAAAACCACATAATACATAGACATATACTAAATATAGCTTTATAATATCTTGACCAAAGGTAAAACTCATTCAGTACAGCACAGTTGCCAAGGCTTCCACTTGTGGTCAAAGTGAATCATTAAGCCACTATTGTATAGATGCGACCTGCCAAAGCAACAATTGGCCTCCTTCAAAGATCCAAAACTTACTAAGTGTTTATTTTCTTCAGGATTACCAGTTGGCATGTTGCAAGCCTCATCAAGATCTCTGCTCTACAATAAAATGTCACCAATCTAATAACACTTTCTCAGAGAAGAAAAAAAGAAAAAATAAGATAAAATAAAAAAGAGGTAAAAGAAAAACAGATACATATATGAAAATGGGTACTAATATAAAAGAAATCTAAAAATTAACAAAATCTATAAGAAATTATCATTAAAAAGAAGAAAACTTGCTAATCAGGCAAAAACTTCTGACTATACAGAGTAATAAACTACTTATATTAAAATGTTACAAGAAACTTGACATAAAAAAAAATAAGATGTATTATAACTAATGTTAGAGGTTAAAAATTATATACAAATAATTATAAAATATTGTATATCTTTTTTCACTTTGTTTGACTCTTTCTATTAAATTTATATTTTCATTTGAAAGTATAAGAATTTTAAAAACTTCACATAGTTTTTGTCTGCTTCAAGCTTAATTAACATTAAATTCATCTTCTTTGATAGCTACACATGTTTATATATTTACAATAATATGATATATAAAATACTCAATTGGAGTATCCAACTAGTTATTAATTTTCATTAAAGCTATTTATTTTATATGTATAAATTTGTTATCATATAGTTTTTCAATATAGAAGTGATAAATAATGTTAATCTTTTAGTGAAGGTTTTTGTTAAAAATTATAGCTAAAAGTTCTTATATTTGTAAGTATTCAAAATAAGATGAGTGTTTTCAGTTGTTATTTATAGTTCTAGAAGCTTTCAATACTTAAGCCAGGAGTTTTTTATCAATATTATTACTAGAATAAACCTTCTGGCTTGGATGCTAAATATGCAAAAAGGAGTTTTTCAAAAAAGAAGCTTAATCTCAAGCAAAAACCAGTTTATATATGCCTGTTCTTTGGTATTTTATATATATTTTTTTTTTTAAATTTTAAAGTGACCTTTTAGTCAGAAGCTTTTATTGGTTTATATGCTAAGCCACATTAAGTCAGTCACTACCATTTAGTACATAGTTTTGTAAGATACAACTAATCACATATACAACTTTTGGTTGCTTATTTAAGTTTAAATTTGTGTAAATGTGAAGACGGTTTTGATGCTAATATGCATTATAAATGGTTAGCGTT